GGCAGATCCCACATGCCGCGGAGCGGCTGGGCCCGTGAGCCATGGCCGCTGAGCCTGCGCCTCGGAGCCTGTGCTCCGCAACGGGAGAGGCCACAGCAGTGAGAGGCCCGCGTACCAAAAAAAGAAAAAAAAAAAAGAAAAAAAAGAAAAAAAAGAAAAAATCTTGGGAGCTGCCACAGACTTGGCTAATAATTTATTTTGCAAAGTAAGGAGAGTCAAAAAGTCAATTCCCATCTACTGCTCCCATAATGTGATTTTAAAAAAGAACTTTTAATGCCAAAAATATTAGGAAGCACACACAGTAAAATGGATTTTGAAAAAAGAGTCATATAAACCTATGTTATAAAACCTCAGTGCCTCGTGCTTTTTCTCTTTTCAGAGCAGACTGGTGGCCACGTCACCCACGTGGGCACCAGTCCACACCCCATAGTTTGAGAACCTGCTCTGAAAAACGGCCGCTTGGTAAATATTTGTTGAATTACTGAATTCCAGCTACAGCTCCCCAAGCAAGCCTGGGCCTGCAGCCCGCGATGCCAGGGCGCTCAAGCCAAGTGTACAGTATTCTGTGGTCCCAATCGCAGTTCTGTGCTTTCACACAAAGCCAGGAGGCCCTTTGGACACAGGAACGCATAGTGTTAGTGTATGCTAACGCATAGCATGCTACCAGGACGTAGCATAGTGTCCTGCATGAGCGGAGACCCGCATTTGAATCTTGTTCGAGCAGGGACTCTGTCTCCCTAAGCCTCGAGCCTCCCCATCTCTCAACTGGGGATGCGGAGGACCTGCTTGTGGGTGATTTGTGAGGATTAAAGGAGATAAAGCACATGAAGGGTTTGGCGAGGTGCCCGGCACACAGAAAACTCTGCGTTGAGGATGAGTCGCCTGCACCACCTCCAATATGGGGGCGGAGGTACTAAGTAGGAGAAAAGAAGAGGCCTAGGCTCTGGCATGTGGCTGAACGCCACGGGAAGGAGGCCGTTCCAGGATCAGGAGCCGTCCACCCCATGACCCCCGAGGAACGAGACCGCCGCTCACCTGTTCGAGGTGATAGTGGTCCGTGGGGTATGGGTCGTGGAGGTGGCCCAGGGTATAAATCCTCCGGTGCTCACAGGACGTGGGGGAGGAGACTGTGCGAGGAGGTTGTTCCCTCTTCTGAGACGAATTAGAAGAACTGTCTGTAGCTGTCTGTGTAGAAGGAGATAGCCGTGAGTTAATTAAAAAAACAAAAAACAAACCCGCACAAAAACCCAACACACCGTCTACGCACACTGGTGGCGTCTCGTTGGATTCCCCAGAATCTTGAGTTTATCCTGGCTATGGGAGGCCGGAGGACCCCTGAAGGGCCAGGTTGTTTAAACACGGCGGGCAGAGAAACCCAGCCGCAGACCCTGGAAAGCTGGGTTTGTTTTCTCAAACTGTGGGAGCAGTGACCAGATTTGGGGAAGGGCTCACCGCACCAGGCCTCCTGCTGGTGCGCTCCAGCTGGATCAAGAATGGTCACCTGTTTGTGGCCCTGGCAGCGAGGTCCTCGGGTAAGCAGAGGAGATGCAAACAAGCAACAATCAAACCCATATGTTCCTTTGTGGGGCTAATCCCAGCCTGGGGACGTCTCAGAGATGAAGGATACCTCAGGGGTATCATGGGTACTGGCTTTCCAGGGAGAAATTTTGTAATCTTCGGCTCGGAGGCAAGCCTGGGGGTCACCATCTCTGGAGAGGGAGAGCAGAGCTGTTTTCCCAGTAGAGGCGACGAGTTCAGATTGGAGCCTCCGTGTGTCTTAGGAAGGTGATCAGCTATCAGAATGGACTGTGGCTGTGGACAGAGCACAGGCCCTCTCGCCTCCCTGTATGCCCACCACCTAAGTGCTTCATGCTCCCCGGTGACCCCAGGTGATGGTCGCTCTCCACATCCCTGGGGCCCAGGAGCCACATGCTCATAAAGGCTTTTTGTCAAGTACAGCTGGCAACTGCCTTTAAAACCAGGGCCCCTCAGAATTCTCACTACACCTCTACTTCCTTAGAGTGATGGACCCCCCGCCCCTTTTTTTCCCGCAAATAAATGAAAAGATTTTCCTTGATATCTAGGTGTCCAATTTCTGGTAAATATCTAGGAACTCCTCCTTTGCTGTTGCTTCTCACTCTTACATTCCCCTTATCGTATTTGCTTATTTATCTCCTTTTATTTTCCTGTTTTTTGTTCGTGTCACAGATCCTCCAAAGAGCAAGGTAAGGTTGAAAAAAATAGACTTATAAAAGTTATCCCCCCCCATTTATAAAGTAATAAATGCTTAGAAAAATGGGAGTACAAGTATCCAGGAAAAAGAAAAGACACGCGTATTTCCATTATGCAGCACAACCGACGTTAAGTTTTAAAACCTGGTGGACACGTGCAGCATGCCTTGGGAAACCTAACCCTCCTGGATTTTTCTTTGATTCTGTTTGGTTCATGCGATGCAGGGCTGATGCTGTTTCCAGTCCCACAATCCAGTGACTAATTCAGATATGGACACACACACAGTCCTCCCTGAGGCAATACGGAGAGATTTCCGATGGAGAGGTCAGAAAAGATGCTGTCTGTCTCTATCTCTGAAGTTAAGAGCTAAGAGTCCTGTAAGCCTGGAATCCTGGTGAGGCGGCAGGGAAAGAAACGGTGTGAGGATGAAGTGAGGCAAAACCAAGGGAAGAAGGCCCCCGCAGACACCACTTGAGCTTCTGGATCCAGCCAAGCCTGAATCCTGATCCACCCTAAGATGTCCCAAAGATAAGAGTCAATTCCCTTTGATAATTTAACCCAGAATGTGTTGGGTTCGTCCCTTGGGTGCACCTTTCCCCCATTCCTGATTCCTTCTCTGTGGCAGCCTTCTACCTGCATCACATTCCTGGCCTCTCTCTCGCCTCACTCCTCTGCAGCAGGTGGAATGGAACAGGGTGTCCAGAGCCTGCTACTTCCGTCCTCTACCTCTTGGGAGCCTCCCAACTGGCAAACTGCATGTGCTGGCAACAATTCTTGGGACTGTGCGGTCTACTTGGAGGTCGAGGGCCCACCCCACTGCGGGGAGGGTGTGGAGACCCAGTGCACGTGTGCCTGGTGGGGCAGGTCTGTCTAATCCTGGGGTCCATTCCTGGAATGTCCACTTCCCACAGGTGTAAGCCAGCACTAACACCATCAGTAAAGAAAGGTCTCCTTTTTTTCTCAATTGGTTCAGAACTGAGATAGGAAAGAGTTGCTATTTACCCCTCAAATCCCAGTAACTGAAAGAGACCAGACTGATACACAAGAATTTTTACTTTCTTCCAACCTCTGGTCTGTCCTCCAACTCTCACCCACCCTTTCCTTATGTCTTTGGAGATCCTGCCTCCCTCTTTTAACAAGCCGGTGGTTGTAAGTTGACAGCATGACAAAGCAAACAACCCTTAACAGTCTCACATTATGTGAAGGCTTATAATGTGCCAGGCCCTGGCTACATGTGAACACCACTGCAGGCAAAATATTGTCTCCACATCACACACAGGAAAACAGAGACTCGGAGAAATTCGGGATCCTGCCGACCGGTGGCAAGCAACCGCTGGCAGAGCTGGACTGAAATGCAGACCCTTCCCGCCAAGCCCGGTGGGATCTCAACGCACCACATCGCGGCTTCGCAAGCCCAGGACAGCCCACGCCAGTGCCTGCTCTGTGTTAATCTTGGTGAGATTAATACGAGTACAACTATTCCAAGTAAGACGGTGTGCCCTGACTCATACAAACTCAGGAGAAAAGGGGATGGTGTCTCAGAATACAAAGGTTTCTACAGATCTCAATAAATACTTTCTGAACGAGTAGATAAGGGCCCTTCAGTATGATTCAAATCTCAAGGGTTAAACTCTTATCCAATACCCATGTGCCAGGCACGTCTTAGGTTAGAAGCTACCCTCCTATTAAACACTGTAATACGCACTCGCCATTTAGTTCTCGGAAACTCAGTTAACACATCCGTCACCTGGTGTTAGTCACCTGAATCCACCCTGTTTTCTGTGACCTATGTCCAGGTTAACAATGTAGGGAA